GATGAAGAAGAGTCAGAGCTCAAATAATATTCTTTCAATAAAAAATCACTAGGGAGTTCCCTTTTCTTAAATAATCCCCTCATGATGTCACTTCCTGTTACATTTTAGCTTGATCAAATTTAAACGAAAATATGCCAGTTAGGTATACAAAATGTGTAAAATCGTGTGTATTATATGTTTTCTTTGACTTTTTGTTTTGAAGGATATTCGTGTCACAGGCACTCTACTAATAAAAAAGTATTTTAAAAGCCATGTGTATGGTCAAAATTTAAAAATAGCAAAACCGTAAATAAAAGAAAATATTAGCAAAAGCTAAATTTATCAAGACAGTGGTTAAAAAACTATCATTATTATAGCAGTTAAAAGCTAAAAGTAACATAAAAGGCAAAAGTGGCGCAAGTTGCTGAAGTATATTTCAGAAAAACAGCTTTTTGAAAGAATCTAATGTAGTTCTGTCGAGAATGTTATTGTAAATAAAATTAAATTATTTAAAAAGTACAAACATGCTAAAGATCATATCTCACCATTCTGAACTGAGCTGAACATTTTGATATACGCATGATTAAAATGGAAAAGCATGCAGAAGAAATTGTGTAATTTTTTTCTTTCACTATGAATTGAGTTGATCAGCACTTATATTAATGCAATGCTTTGTTAATGAAGCCAGAGACGAGGTCGATATAATAGAAAGTCATCTTTGGGACCTCTTGTTAACATTAAAACAACCTCGTAAAGTATTTACTTTTTTTTCTCTCAGTGTGTCACACATTTGTATATCCAGGCCAGTGATCTGTAGAGCTGTGTTCAGACTTTAGTTCCACTCTGCAGCTTATTTTTCCATCCCTCCTCCTCCTCCTCCTCCTCATCTTCTTCTTCGCCTCTGAGTGGCTCTTGATGGAGGGGAGCAGCGGCAGTGAGGCTGTGCTGGGCCTGAAGGGCACATTTCAGCCTGGCCAGACACACTCGGGCCTTGCTGCTTGGCTGCGTAACATGGGTCACCGCTTTACATTAGGAGCACCCTGCCAAAGTCAGCCAAGCGGAGCCCGGCAACATACCTGAAAATGAATGAACAAAGTCTGTGTGCCTCCTCCTACAAAATAAAAGCATATCAGACTTGTAACACTGCCTGGCAAACATTTTGATCACTAATAAAAAGCTGATTTTCATTTCATCTGTCTTTATAAAGTTTTTACCCGTTCTTGTGTGTGTTCCTTTGTAGCAAAATATCTCCAGATCCACTGAAGAAGAAAGTAATTGTTGAAAGTTACACTGACAAATGAACACCTTTTCTAATTACGTTTAAGATGGATGCCACTTTCTCTGTTTCAGCCTGGAACCTGTAGCCTGAGCATCATGAGACCGTGGCACTGACCACCACTCCAGCCCTCAGCAAACATAAACATCTACAGCTCAGCTAGTTTTACAGATAATGAAAAACTAATTTGGGGTAGTAGCTGAGAGTTTTTCCCAACACTCTGAGCTCCACTCATTGGACGTCTTTGTTTAAAAGTTTGGCAACAACTGCTAGACTCAACACTGTCTACACTAATATTATGAATCACTGGACATATTTTACTGAATATTTTAATCCATTATACTTGGATTCCATCTACCATGTATTAGTTTTTGGAGTCATGGGTTGACATATTGTTCATTTAGCGGTAACAAATATGGTAGTTTTATGGATTTTAAGCTCAAATTAGGTAACGTAAGATGACACAATATATAACATTATTGCATGAGACATTAGAGATTAGCTGTATTTCCATCAAGGTTTTTTAATGCACATTTTGAAGTATCACATCAGAAAAGGTGAATGGAAACGGCTTGATTCGAAAAAACTTCCTCTAACTCGCAAAAATGTTGATGCGCTCACTTGAGGTGTTTTTTTAAGAGATAATGCGCAAAAGGAGAGATGGAAACACATATAACCCAATAAGTTCTGAGGCAGCGAACATTTACCTCACATAGCTGATCAGCTGTTCTCACTGTCTGTCGGGTAGCAGAGTGACTGCAGCCGTGACTGGCAGCAGGACCCTCTTCGGTATATTCTATTATTCCCATAACATGAAGAGAATTTCATTTCTTTCTCTACATCTCCAGACAGCATTTAACATCACCAGAACTAGCTGATGACAGAATAAGTACAATTTTCTTGATAGTAGCAACACGTTCCTGATAACTTCTCTCCATTTTCCTGAGATGTGACTTTTACTTCCTGTTTACAAGCCAGTTGATGGAAACACGTCTGATTCGCATTTCTTCGTTTTTTTCCTTTTTGCAAAGTTTAAAAATTCGCTCAAAATTTGAATTAAAATTGGATGGAAACACAGCTATTGAGACTTGATTTGACTTGGTCTCCTGTTCCTGCTGGGCCCTGTGTTGGGTGGTCTCCGGGTCGTACTCCAGATCTTCTGCCTGATCATCTTAATGAACATCTGTGATTTTTGTGTATTTGTGCATGAATGGTTTTTTTTCTCTCTACTGGCTGCACAACAAATTGTCCCTTTGGGATAATAAATATTCTTAAACTTGAACTTGCCCTGTGTTGGGGTGGTCCCCTGGACGTCCTCCAGAACTCTTGTGTTTTGTCTTTGAGTCTGTCCTGTTGTGTGTTCCCAGAGTCCCGTGCCTCTCATTTTTCGACGTTGGGAGCCGTCGTTAAGGGGGAGGTACTGTCACAGACTGTGTTTATGTTTCCTTGGTTTTTCTAGTGTTTCAGTGTTTCCCTGTGTTTCTCTGCCCTGCAGCCCCACCCACGCTCACCTGTTTCCTCTTGTGTCTCCTCCAGGTGTTTCTCATTTGTCCTCGTTAGTTGCCTTTATAAAGTGTCTTGTTCGCAGTCTGTGTCAGATCATTGTACTGTCTTACCAGTCAGTGTGATTGTTCTCTGTGTTCCTTGTATTTTCTCCTGAGATCGTCTTGTAAGTTTTTGCAACCCTACTTTGTTTAAAGGGGCAAGATCATGTAAAATCAACTTTTTAAAGTTTTATTCCATGTTATAATGTTATCCTCTCATCAAAAACATGCCCAAAGCCTTCACTGCAAAACTGTCCATCTTACCAAATTTGACTTAGTCAAAAAAATTCTGCCAATGGAGTAAGAAAATTTTACTTGGTAAGGTTCTTGAAATACTTGATTTGACTCATTTTTTCTTGTTTCAAGAATCTTACCAAGTAAAATTTTCTTACTCCATTGGCAGAAATTTTTGACTTAATTTGAGTCAAATTTTCAGACTAGCAAGACAAATAATCTTACACATTCTGAAAACAAGATTGTTATTCTTACACAATCAGTTCTTGTTTAATAAATCAGTCTCAAAACAAGATCAAAAAGACTTTTTGGCTGATATAAGATTTTAAAACTTGGTAAGATGGACAGTTTTTGCAGTCTTGCTTTGACTCATTCATGCATGTTTGAGAAATCCTGTGGTGTCCTGAGGCAGCAGGCAGGGGAGCAAAAACCACAGGTTGGGACTAGAACCGCCTTTTGGGACCAGCTCCTCCTCTGTGTCTCCGAACCGAGCTTTCTCATCACAGAGCACACACACACACACCTGGCCCCGTGCTGAAATGGGCGGGACAGAAGCAGAAGGAGGTTCTTAAAGAGACAGAGGCCAATTTCAAGGCGTTTAGAAACAGATATGACGAGAAGTCAAGTTTATTTTCTATTTAAACATATAAACAAGATTTTAGTCACAACTGAAGGTGACATAGGCTGTGTCCAAAACGATGGGCCGGGTCCTCCGGAGGACCCAGACTCCCCGGTCGAGGCGGGCCGGGTCCTTGGTAGACCGGGAAGACCGGAAAAAAGAGGCTGTGGATTTGGACGGTCTAGCCTCCCCTCGTTACCCCGGCGTACGTCATGTCACCTAGCAACTGTGACGACGCTAAACAAGCAAACTTAAATCAAAACTAGAAAAATATCAACACATTAGCATTATTAATATCACAAAACTATAAAATTAACTTAAAGGTATCATTTGAAGAACTAATTGACCCGCTGTAGGTTCATGTTTATTTCGCGTTTTTTATGATAAAAATAATATTTAAAAACATGTCCATACAAATGATAAAAGTATTAGAATTACAACTGCTAATTTTTAAAAATTTTTTATATCACCATATTTTTATTTAAAACGTATTCTTTTCTCCCGCTTCATCCGCCATTACTAGCATAAAAAAATCTCCGGTCGGGCCGCAATGCATTATGGGATATGCTGGGCCGGGAAGGATCCATCAGACCTGTCCTTCGATTCGGGGAAAAAGAAGGACGTATTTGTCGGCCGCATCGGAGGAGTCTTCCGTTTTGGACGTCCTTCGTCGCAGCGCTGTGACGTATGCGGCCGACAAATTCGGCCTTCGGAGGACCCGTCCTGCTGTTTTGGACACAGCCATGGACACTTTATTATGGTACAGAATTTAAATATATGCCTGAGAAACACACGATCTTGCCCCTTTAAAATTTGATTTAATTTGTTTACATCAGGACCAGCACGTGTACTTTGTGATGATGACGCTCAAATTGTGAAGCTTTAGTGTTAGCTTATAGCCTAGTCTTTAGCTTCTTTCCATTTCTATCTAGCATTTTAGCTTTGTTTGTTGTGTTTGGTGCTGTTAGTTAGCCTTTTGCTGCTTTTGAATTTTGGATAGCATTTTGCTTTCTGTAGCGTTTAGCTCGTGTTTTGCTTGTTTTAGACACAAGTTTTCAGCTTCTTCAGCAAACTTCAGAAACATCATTCAGCTCTCAGACTGTAAATTCACAAAAACAAGTTTTTGTTTAGTGAGAGGATGAATTTTCTGAGACATAAGCCTTGAGGCAGTGATGGTGTGTGGTTCTGACAGATGGGAGGAGCGGGCTGTAGTTCAGGCTCACAGAAATGTTTTGGTGTTTTGTGAAGACAGTGGGGGTCTCTGAGGTCAGGAGGAGACCACCACAGCTTCTTCTTCTTCCCTTCACGAGATGCACCTCAAGGTGGGGCTAAACCCCGCTCATGTCGCGTGGGCGGAGTCTGACTGTCGTGCTCTCTGTGTGCGTCTCTTTAACGCCGCCTTCCCGGGCAGCTCGGCTCTGGACCCGACAAACACCAGGAGGATGGAGCGAGCGGAGTGAATCCCTGACGTTTTATTTCTTACAGATACTTTTTTTCCTCCCTCAGATTCTGAAAGGGAGCAGGGGGGGTTTGGATGAGCGCGCCCACCAGAAAGCTGCCTGTCAGTGTGGTTGAGAGCAGCTGTCTGTCTGGGTTTTGGACCGGATCCGGTTTCACATTCAGCCCGGACCAGCTGAGCTGAGAGCCCCACAGAGGGGGGCTCGCTTCTCCGCTTTCCTCCTCTCCGAACCCAGCTTTTTATTTTTTTATTTTTTCTGTTCGGCGAAAAGCTCCCGAACACTCCGGCGGAGGAAAAAAAAAAGCGCAAATATTGGGATTTTCTCCCCATCTTCCTCCTTTCCTCTTCTTTTTATTTTTATGCATTTTTGCAGGATTTTCGAGGCGCAGAGAATTAGATAAGAAGGGCGGCAGAAGACATGGACGAGCAGCCGAGGTTGATGCACTCTCACACGGGGGTGGGCATGGCGGGGCACCCCGGCCTGCCGCCGCACATGCAGGACGGCGGCGGAGGAGCGGACGGTGACGGCAGGAAGCAGGACATCGGAGACATTTTACAGCAGATCATGACCATCACGGACCAGAGTCTGGACGAAGCCCAGGCCAGGTAACTCCTCAGGCGGCTTCACGCGCCCGCGCGAGGCGGCGGCACATCAAAGGGGCTTCAAAGGGCGGAGGACTCTTAACATTTTAATAACTCTGAAACTATAACACTTACTAACTTAAAGCCTTTAGTTTTATAAATATATACTTTTACTTGCGCTTCAACAGAAATAAATATGGCGTTTATTTTATTGCCGCAAACCGAATGTATAAAATTAATAATTATAATAATAATAAAAATGCACTTTTATTTAGACTTTCAGTCCTTAAAGTGAGTCTTTAAAAGTCTGAAAAACACTGAAAAGTGATATTTATGTGAATCAAGCCTAGCTGAATATTTAACAAAAATAAAAACAAAAACAATTGATGACAAAAAAAAAAAAACTCGCAGAATTAGTGTTTTTCCACACAGACTTTATATTTTATAATATAAAATGAACTAATACTAATTATAGTGAAAGATTAACATATATATCATAATATTTTTTCAATTGATGATTTGGGGAAAAAACAAAAAGAAAAACTGCACACAAAGATAACTTATATCAGTGTCTTTATTTAAAGTTCAACAGTTTTTTTTTTGTCCAGCAAAGGTCCTATTTATATATAATGTCTATATATAACAGGTGTTTGTATGTCAGGAATACAGAAAGTGTACATTATATTTATAGAGTTACTTTTAGAAATATTAAAATTGCTATTAGTTCGTCTCTCAGTGCCTGTATGAAAACTACCCAGCCAATTTTATAAACTTGTTGAAAATTAAATATGTTACTTTTTAAATATATGTACTATACGCAATCAACAATTGCCTACAGAAAATAGGGAAAAGAAAAATACTGTTGAATGAGAAACAAATTTTATTATAATTTGTACAAATCGATTCTTGTTTACTATCTTAGTAATATAAAAGTGGCTAATAAAAAGTCAAATAAAGATCTTTTTAATAAAATGTGTCCAATTACAGTGTTAGCTTTTGAAGAAAAACACGTTTTGTTTCTCCTTTTTTCCTCATGTTCTAGTTAATAACCATCTATCTTCTTTAGTCGAGCCCCTTTGTTCAGCTTTTTATGTTAACTGTTCATCTGACTAATCATTGAAACAAAAATAATTTAAAAAACCTTACAGGTTATTGATTATATGAACAAGACAAATGGGTTTTAAACTCCACAGCAGTCCATCAGGTCCAGCTCGTCTCTGTTAGTGACAGCCATGATGTAAAGGCTAAAAAAAGCTGCACAAGTTATTATTCATTTTACTAAAGTGAATCCAGGAAAGACTTCATTTGGATCCTGATCCAGTCAACTCTAAGCTTTTGGCAAATAAACGTTCAGGCTCATGATTTGACTCCTAAATAAAAAAAAAATAAATAAAAATCTGATTTGCTTATTTGAATGATAGGAGTTATTAAACTAGCAGAAAATTAAAGCAGAACAGAAACAACAGCAGAGTTTGTGTCGATTCAAAGTCATCCAGAACAAGAAAAAAAGAGAAAAAAGTAATAATAATAGACTGAATTTTATTTATTTATTATTTTATTATTTGAATTTCATCTTCAATTTAACCCCACCCAAAAATAGAGTTTTAAATCAAAGCCTTAAAACTGCAACAAAGACCTTGAAGACCCTCAGGAGGGAGGGAAGGGAGACTGATCTGCATGTGAGGTGAGCTTACACAAACAAAGAAACTCATTTCAGTTTTAGAGCTTAAAAAACTCACAACCTCTGGGTTTAAGTCAAGAAATCTCAGATGAGATACAGAAACATGTCCGGTTGTTTTGTTCTTTTTTTTTACAAAAAACCCTTAAAACTGCAGCGTTAATTAAAAAAAAAAGAAATAAATGATCCAGTTCAGTGAGGAAAATTTCCTTCTTACAGCCAACGATTTCATATAAACAAACACAATAAAAACACCAGTTTAACAAATATCAGTTTACAGATGAAAAAGTATTTGTAAAAAAAAAGAAACCCAACACAACAAATGGTGTTCTTTATAAACTTTTTAACTTGTGATTTAATTACATAATGACAAAATTCTTCCTTCATAGCTGCATACAAATAATAAAAGTGTAATAACACATTTGAAATAAAACGTTACAAACGTATCATTTTTATAACCCAATAAAAGCTGAACGATGTTTGTACTGGTGGTATTTGCATTTTTAAAATAATAATCACAACATTTTATAAATCAGAAATAATAGGGACTTGTGCTCTGTCTAATAAAAGTATGGAATTTTTCTCCTAGTATTTTTAGATATAAAAAATAGGTATAAATAGTTCCCTTATATAATAAAGTGATTTCTAAATCATTCTTTATATAAAATATAGACATAAGTACTGCACAAACATTTAAACCAGTTCTAGTTTTGTTACACTTTGGTGCCAAAATCAGAAGGGAGTAAGATATGAGTTATAACTCAAAGTATTCACTCAGTACTATGGTTGTAGTTTTTGTATACACTGTAAGACACCTCGTGGACCTGACAAACCCTAAATAAGAGCCGTATAAACACAAACCTTTTCGTCAAGATGTTGCGTTCTCCATGCAACCGGTGAGCTAGAAGTGTCTCTGGCCCTAAAGCCAAAGCTGCTTTTATACTTGACTCCAAATCAAAACAGAGTTTCACAAAAACAAACCTCTGCTGTGTCATTTCCTGTAATTCATCTCATGGCTGCCGTACAGATACAGTAAACTGTTTGTGCTTAGATGTTAAAAATGACTAAATCAATTCAGAACTCTGGATATTTGAGCCTGGAAAAGTCTGGAATTTCAAAGCCTGGGACCGCGTGTAAGAGCCGTGCAACGAGCGACGTCTTTGTCGAGTAATTTAAGCTGATGTCTGCGTCTCCTTTTCCCTGCTCTGCTGGGTTCACGGGGCCGCTTGTCTTTTTCAGGAAACACGCTCTGAACTGTCACCGAATGAAGCCGGCTCTTTTCAACGTCCTGTGTGAAATCAAAGAAAAAACAGGTAGGTCCGCTCTTCCTTCTGCGTCCTCCATGTTTCCTGCTCGGTCTGCCTGCGTTCGCTTCTTCCCTCCTGTTTTTTTTTAATGTCTCACAGTCACAACTTCCAACCATTCCTCATTGTTTCCTGTCACAACATGGATGAAGTTTATTCTCACTGAATTATAGAAGTAAAATTGTCACAAATCTAGTGATGTCTCCCCCTTTGCGAGCTAACTGTCAGGTCTGGTGAGAACATCTGTCTCTATTATGTTTCGCCTCTCTCTATTAAAGCAGCGCATGCCAGCTAAATAATTGCTTGGAGAAAAGGAAAAAATGAAATAAAGTAACGCAGGAGGCTTAAGTCTCGTTTCCACATCCTTTCCCACCCTTTGTGACATTTTGTTTTCAACCTGGCACAGACGGAATAAATCGCACTTCAAGCATCTTGTCCTTGTTTTCCACTCAGAAACGTCCACTGATGAGATATTGAGTTGCCGGTTTCTCTCTCGGTGTTTCACACTCATCAGTGCATGAAATCAAACAGGAAGGGTAGAGGCTCCTGTTGTCTGTTGAGTTGCACTTGTTCATACTTGACCATTTGTGGTGGCCGCTGTTTTTGTTGGTTTTTAAGACGAGCCTGATGCTTCCTGGATGTTTTTATTGGTTCTCACGTCGCTGACTAAAAGTATAATCTGACTGGAACTCTCTGTTGACTGTATTCTGGGTGTTTGGCACCAAGTGAGCCATGGAGACATGTTTGAGCAGCCGGTTTTGTATTTGTAGGCCGTGCACATTATTTAGTCGAAGCCTCAGGACGCCCTAGTTTCTCCCTCAGGACACCGTGACGATCTTCTGGGTTTGCAGACATTTCTCTGGATGGGATGCAGCTTTCACTCGGCAAGGCCTATTGCTAATTAGAATAATTAGGATGGGGGGCCTTGGGTCTTAAAAACATATAAAGAATAAATTGCTTGGATAGAGGTGGAGCTACAGCTTCAGTAGTTGATGTTGCCACAATCTTCACTCCCATCTGTCCTCCCCCTTAGTAAGTTTTGGAAACATCGTAAGTGGAGTAGGGGAGCTTAAATCCTGCCTAAAACCCTGGTTGCCCACGTTACATCCATAGTTGCCCCTGTGTTTCGGAAACAGCATACTCCATCCAAAGTTGAACAGTCGACGTGCGATTATGTAGTTGTTCGACGTTCATTTTCATAGCCCCTGAGACACATGAGCTCTTAGGAAACCCCTTGGGCTGCCGTATACATCGCTGCACGAGTTTTCTAGAGTCTAGAGTCCGAAAAAACAAACTCCAATATCTGCTGTTATTCTGGCCACAAGTCTGTCACGGTTAAAGCTTCACAGTTTCTGCAGACGGATTCCTCCATGAAACAGTGTTTCTTTTATCTCCATCCATTAGTCGTCGGACTTTATAAATGTCTGCTTCTGGGTACAACAGTTGGATTCTGCAAGCCAGTGGTCAAAAGAAAGCGCAGGGTCCGACGCTTTCAGTGTAAACAAACACGCCCACAAACTTATGACCAATCACACAACAATTGTTTAAGTGGAGGGGTGAAAAGTCCTTCCGGCAGGTTGTGACAAGAAGGAGTGGAGGACTCACATCTGCACACAAAATGACACAATTTACATCATGCAGCTGTGACAATGAGAGATGCAGTTCAGGTGAAGCATACAGAGGACCTTAGTCTACTAGAGTCCACTTCAAAAATGAAGCAGGCAGATCTGGATTGTTTTTTTTGTGTTATTTATCATTAGTGTGGCTTTTAGACCTGGATAAATGCTAACCCTAACCCTGTACATGTGCTCTAACACACTTGAGATGAGATCAAGACACTCATGACAACTGTGTAACTGTTCAGAGTGAAAACTTGTCACGTTACAAACATGTTCAAAACTCAATCAACTGAACTGCCTCTACGACTCATGCAAGGAAATTGAGCGTTATTTTGGAAAATTCCTTCTGGAATGCCTTTCATCAACTAGTCTGAGCCCGGTGACATGGTGACACACCTTAAATAACCCCACTTGGAAAAAAACAAAACAAAAAAGCCCTACAGTTTATCTTGAGTTGTTCGCAGCCCCAGGAGTGAGTAAAAGGGAGGACTGCGGGGCTTTTTGAAGGCTTGCTCCTCTTTCTGTTGTCTTGGTATGTTTTCCCTAGGGGGGAGTGACACAGATATGCACCGTGTTTCACTCCCTGCAGCTTTGCAGAGTTCATCCAAAGTTCGGCTGTACGGAGAGCACAGAGTAACGTGGAGCGCTTCCTGCCTGCGCACTGCCTCTTCCTCCTCTTCAGCGGCTGACCTGTTAAAACGAGCTGCGGCCAATGGAGCTCCACGTCGGAGATTTTAGGTTCGTCGTCAGAGTCTGCTGTCATGTTTACAGTGGGAATGACGACTTCTCTTAAAATCCTGCTCCAGTATGAAAATAATCTAAATCATTATGACAACTGAGAATTGTTAAAAACCTGTCAGCGTTGGCCAGGCTTATAAAAATAAAATATGCTGTTTAAAAGAAGAGAAAGAAAGAAATTATTCTTTTGGAATGCAACAAATATGCTTTAAAGTTTGTCCTCGCCTTTAGAAAACAGATCATAAAATGTGTCTTGTCTGTTCAGATTGTCAAAGATCATGTGATCAAACATTAATTTGCTTTACTAAAGCAGACATTAAATAGTTTGCAATATATTTTCAGCTGAAATTGTAGTTTTTTTTTTGACATCTTCAAGTTCAAAAGCCTCTGGGGAAACAAAACAAAATAAGTAAATAAAAAAAGGCTTATTTCTTTGTCAAGTTCAGTTTATTTCATTATAAAAAAACAATAATTAAGAAGGTAAAATCGTTTTAATAAAAAAGCATGTTTGTTCAATCCGTTTTTGTGTAATAAATTATTTTTTTGACTGAGTGTTGAGCTGAAACAGCCGAGAGTATTTTGGGGTGTACCGACCGAGTGTTGGGGTGAAACAGCCGAGTGTTTTGGGGTGTACCGAC